AACGATGGATTCTTTAAGAAAACAAGAATTTCTTGAGAGACGCAAAGAACCTTCAACTGTAACAGTAAGAATGCAACTTTAGATTCATGTATTCAACAGTTCAAGAAGAAAATAAAGGAAGGTCCATACTATTTATGTTGTGTTTGTATACAAAACTAATAGAAAAGCAGAAACAAAACAAAAACAGAACAATTGCAACCATGTTCCAGTTAATTATTATCTAACTAATGACAGGGTAACAGTTGTCAACGTTATCTTTTTAACAGAGTTTCTTTCAATTACACCTCATTTATTATCTTATATTTTTTTATAATTAAAACATTGTTTCAGATAGTTGTTTTCAATTTTGTAGTAAAAACAATGTTTAAGAATTGTTGAAGACTTAAAATTGTTAAAAATAAATAATTGTTATTGCTTTATGTTTATTTTCTTTGTTCATATTTATATCCATGTCACCACTTGAGCTTTACTAAAAGCAATGTGCCAAATAAGTTGTAAACAACTACTCAGACTAGCATTCAGTGATATATTTTGATCTTCATGTATTAGAAATGAGTCGCCTTTCTTTCTTTTTTTGTGATAACGTTTGTGCGCAGTGCTTTTCCCTCCCTATGCATTGACAATAACAAGCAGAAAAAAGAAACACTGATGCAGTGGTGGGGAGTTAGGAAAAAAACAACATGATTTGGATTTAAATTTGTCAAACCGTAAATTAAACAACACTCTTCGTCGCCTTAGCAAACATTCCTAAGCAAAGACTGAAGCCCGAGTTGTTATGCGTCTAGTTAAAATTAACATCTAGAAATTTCTCCCACGTACACCATTTCTTTAGGAAAATGTTTCAATCACCTTATTTGCCATTTACGTCGCGATTACATGATTCATGTAACTCATACTGAAACTAACTCGCAAGTTATAAGTTGCGATCGCAAGTTATAAGTTGCGGTCACAAGTTACTAGAAAATCAATGTGTCCCATATGAGCCACCATACTACTCTGTAGTTCAAAATTAAAGTATTCCAATTATGTAGATTAGCAGTGACCAATTCATAAAATATTGACAAGCAATAATTCAGGATTTTCTCGGAAAGTTGGAGGAAGTGTAAACAAATTGTGGTTGACGAAAGATTCACGAAATAATTAGAGACTTATTTCTCGGATTAATTTCCAAGCTCACCTGATATGCGATACCAT